CCTGGTAACCTCTATCTACTTTCTGTTTCTATGAATGTGCCTATTCTAGATACCTAATGTAAGTGGGACCACACAATATCTGTCCTTTTGTATTTTGCTTATTTCACTTACTGTAACGTTCCATCCATGTTGTATCATGTATCAGAATTTCATTCCTCTAGGTTGTCACAAAGCACTGGGCTGATCTCCCTGTGCTGTGCAGCAGCTTCCCACTAGCCATCCATTTTACATTTGGTAGTGTGTATATGTCAGTGCTACTCTCTCACTTCATCCCAGCTTCCCCTTCCCCCATGTCTCCATGCCCTCAAGTCCATTCTCTATGTCTGTGTCTTTATTCCTGCCCTGCCACTAGGTTCACTGGTACCGCTTTTTAAAACTCCATATATATGCATTAGCATACAGTATTTGTTTTTCTCTTTCTGACGGAATATGGGGATATATGTATACATATAGCTGATTCACTTTGTTGTACAACAGAAACAAACACAACATTGTAAAGCATTTACACTCCAATAAAGATGTGAAGAAAAATAAAATAAAATAAAACTAAGACCCGCCAGGGACAGACCTGGTAATATGCATATTTAAAAAACAAAAATTTTCATTTCTCTTTATGGCTGAAGTATTCCATTCTATGTATTACACGCCATTTGTTGATGGACACGAGTTGTTTCCAATTTTGTCTACTGCAAGTTAATATTGCTGTGAATATTACCATACAATTGTCCCAGTCCCTGCTTCCAGTTATTTTTATTATAAACTGAGAAGAAGACTTGCTGGACCACATGACAATGCAATGTTAAACTTTTTGAGGAACTGCCAAACTGTTTTCCACAGCAGCTGCACCATTTTAGATTCCCACCAGCAACGCACAAGGCTTCCAATTTCTCCACATCCAATACTTTTTATTTTCAGGCTTTGCTTGATCAAACCCATCCTTATCGGTGTGAAGTAGTATCTCACTGTGGTTTTGATTTGCATTTTCCTAATGACTAATGGATGTTGAACGTTCTCTCATGTGCTTATTGACTATTTGTATATCTTCTTTAGAGAAATGTCTACTCAAGTCCTCTGCCTATTTTTTGAGTTGTTTCTTTTTTTTTTAACATCTTTATTGGAGTATAATTACTTTACAATGGTGTGTTACTTTCTGCTTTATAACAAAGTGAATCAGCTATACATATACATATATCCCCATATCTCCTCCCTCTTGCATCTCCCTCTCACCCTCCCTATCCCACCCCTCTAGGTGGTCACAAAGCACCGAGCTGATCTCCTTGTGCTACACAGCTGCTTCCTACTAGCTATCTATTTTACATTAGGTAGTATATATAAGTCCATGCCACTCTCTGACTTCATCCCAGCTTACCCTTCCTCCTCCCCGTGTCCTCAAGTCCATTCTCTAGTAGGTCTGTGTCTTTACTCCTGTCCTGCCCCTAGGTTCTGCATAACCTATTTTTTTTTTTTTGGACTCCATACGTATGTGTTAGCATACAGTATTTGTTTTTCTCTTTCTGACTTACTTCACTCTGTATGACAGACTCTAGGTCCATCCACCTCACTACAAATAACTCAATTTCGTTTCTTTTTATGGCTGAGTAATATTCCATTGTATATATGGGCCCCATCTTCTTTATCCATTCAACTGTTGATGGATAGTTAGGATAGTTAGCAGCTTAGGTTGCTTCCATGTCCTGGCTATTGTAAATAGAGCTGCAATGAACACTGTGGTACATGACTCCTTTTGAATTATGGTTTTCTCAGGGTATATGCCCAGTAGTGGAATTGCTGGGTCATATGGTAGTTCTGTTTTTAGTTTTTTAAGGAACCTCCATACTGTTCTCCATAGTGGCTGCATCAATTTACATTCCCACCAACAGTACAAGAGGGTTCCCTTTTCTCCACACCCTCTCCAGCATTTATTGTTTGTAGATATTTTGATGATGGCCATTCTGACTGGTGTGAGGTGATACTTCATTGTAGTTTTGCTTTGCATTTCTCTAATGATTACTGATGTTGAGCATTCTTTCATGTGTTTTGGCAATCTGTGTATCTTCTTTGGAGAAATGTCTACTTAGGTCTTCTGCCCATTTTTGGATTGGGTTGTTTGTTTTTTGATATTGAGCTGCATGAGCTGCTTGTAAATTCTGGAGATTAATCCTTTGTCAGTTGCTTCATCTGCAAATATTTTCTCCCATTCTGAGGGTTGTCTTTTTGTCTTGTTGATTGTTTCCCTTGCTGTGCAAAAGCTTTTAGGTTTCATTAGATCCCATTTGTTTATTTTTGTTTTTATTTCCATTTCTCTAGGAGTTGGGTCAAAAAAGGATCTTGCTGTGATTTATGTCATAGAGTGTTCTGCTTATGTTTTTCTCTAAGAGTTTTATAGTGTCTGGCCTTACATTTTGAGTTTAATCCATTTGGAGTTTATTTTTGTGTATGGTGTTAGGGAGTGTTCTAATTTCATTCTTTTACATGTAGCTGTCCAGTTTTCCCAGCACCACTTATTGAAGAGACTGTCTTTTCTCCATTGTATATTCTTGCCTCCTTTATCAAAGATAAGGTGACCATATGTGTGTGGGTTTATCTCTGGGCTTTCTATCCTGTTCCATTGATCTATATTTCTGTTTTTGTGCCAGTACCATACTGTCTTGATTACTGTAGCTTTGTAGCATAGTCTGAAGTCAGGGAGCCTGATTCCTCCAGCTCCGTTTTTCTTTCTCAAGATTGCTTTGGCTATTCTTGAGTTGTTTCTTTGCTGTTGTTGAACTGTAGGAGTTATCTATGTATTCTGGTTATCAATCTCTTTTCAGATATATGATTAGCAAATATTTTCTCCTGTCAATTGTCTTCACTCTGTTGATAGCGTCCTTTGATACACAGAAGTTTTTAAGTTTGATGAAGTCCCAATTTATCTATTTTTCCCTTTATTGCCTGTGCATTTTTTTTTTTTTTTTTGCGGTACGCGGGCCTCTCACTGCTGTGGCCTCTCCCATTGTGGAGCACAGGCTCCGGACGCCCATATTGCCTGTGCTTTTGATGCCACTTCCAAGGAATCACTGCTAAATCCAATATCATGAAAATTATCCCCTATGTTTTCTTTAAAGAGTTTTATAGTTTTAGTACTTGAGCTTAGATTTAAGTTTAGATTTAAGCTTGAGGTCATTTTTGCATATGGCATAATAAAGTAAGCGTTCGACTTCATTCTTTTGCATGTATATATCCAGTTTTCTCAGCATGATTTGTTGAAAAGACTCGTTTCCCCTTTGAACAGTCTTGGCTTCCTTGTCAAAAACCAATCGACCAGGGCTTCCCTGGTGGCGCAGTGCTTGAGAGTCCGCCTGCCGATGCAGGAGACGCGGGTTCGTGCCCCGTTTCGGGAAGATCCCACATGCCGCGGAGTGGCTGGGCCCGTGAGCCATGGCCGCTGAGCCTGCGCGTCCGGAGCCTGTGCTCCGCAAATGGGAGAGGCCACAACAGTGAGAGGCCCGCATAACGCAAGGAAAAAAAAAAAAAAAAAAAAAAAAAAACCAATTGACCATATTATGTGAGGGTTTATTTTGGGGATACTATATTCTATTCGTCTTTATGTCTGTCCTTATGCTAGTATCACACTGTTTTGATTACTGTCATTTTGTAGTACGTTTTAAAATTAGGAGGTGTGAGTTCTCCAACTTCATCTCAGTACTATCATCTTAATAATACTAAGTCTTCCAAACCATGAATATGAGATGTCTTTCATTTATTTATGTCTTTAATTTCTTTCAGAGATGTTTTGTAGTTTTCAGTGTACAAGTCTTTTGCCTCCTTGGTTAAATTTATTCCTAAGTAATTTATTCTTTTAATGTTATTGTAAGTGCTTTCTTAATTTCCTCTTCAAGATTGTTCATTCCTAGCTTATGGGAATGCAACTATCTTTGCATGCTGATTTATCTTGCATCTTTGCTGAATTCATCTATTAGCTCTCTCAGGGTTTTTTTGGTGGAATCTTTAAGTTTTCTACATATAAGATCATATTTGCAAGCAGAGATAATTTCACTTCTTCCTTTCCAATTTGGATGCCTTTTGTTTCTTTTTCTTGCCTAACTGCTCTCGCTATGACTTTCCAATACTATGTTGAATAAAAGTGGTGAAGGTGAGCATCCATGTCTTGCCCCTGTTCTTAGGGGTAAAACTTTTAGTCTTCTACCACTGAGTATAATGTCAGCTGTGGGTTTGTCACATATGGCCTTTGTCATGTTGATCTACAAAGGTTTTTAACTATGCTACATTATAGTTCTCCTAACAAGAAAAGGAAAGAATCTTGAAAGTTGGAAATGATGTCTTCAGTAAGAGGTTACCAGCGTTATAAAGAGCGATCATCCAAAGTCCTAACACAAAAATGAGGATATAGAATTCACTGGCATTCTGCACAGAGCTTAGGGATGTTGCATTGCCATACCTCACATGATACTAAGTAAGGCACTAAATTCTGGCTGCTGAAATCACAGACTATATAGACACATACACATCCCTTTCTGTCTTTGTCAGCTTGGGCTACAACAACAAAGTACCACAGACTTAATGGCTTTAACAACAGAAAATTATTTTCTCCCAGTTCTGGAGACTGGAAGTCTGAGATCAGATCAGGGTGCCAGCATGGCTGAGTGTTAGTGAGAACTCTCTTCCTGGCTAGTAAACGGCTGCCTTCTTCCTGCGTCCTCACATGGTAGAGATAGCACAATCTCTCTCTTCCTCTTTTTATAAGGCCACTAATCCCATCATGAAGGCCCCAATCTAATGATCTAATCTAACCCTAATTAACTCCCAAAGGCCATCACACTGGGGAGTTATGGCTTCAACATATGGATTTTAGGGGAACACAAACATTCAGTCCATAACACCTTCTTTCAGGAAAACAATGATGAAGCTAACAGTAGTATTCAATGTAGACACATACATAACAATAGGGTTAAGTTAGCTATCACAGTGCTCACAGTAATTCAAGCCTTACAGATACTTACAAAATTTGGAGACAAGTTATGCTTATAAAGCTGAAGAGTGGAATGAAGCAGATTGGAAACAAGACTGGAAACCAACACTTCCTTTCCCAACTTATTATCTGTCATTCGTCTCTGGCTACTGGCCACTTGAACAGTCCATTTATCCATATCTGCTATAATACAGACAGCTTCTGCTATTGGTTCATCCAATACTGGATGCTGGGGAAAAAAAGAAGACATCATCTTATGATAAAGTTTTCAAAGATAATGTTAATGGGATGGGCAAGGAAGAGATACCAGACAAAAACAAAATAAAAGAATATGAAATTCTGAGAGCTACTGCCAAAGAAACCTTGACAGTGAAGAGTGAAATAGTAAAGTAACTTAATAACAAATACCCTGAGATATTTTACAGAAGTCATCATAGGTAGAGATTCATTACCAGAACTCTGTATTCTTTAATCCTGAACTTGAATTTCACCAGTATTTTGATCATTCATTCATTCAACAAATTTACTGAGTGCCAACTACGTGCCAGGCAACTGAAAGAAAATGTTTTTACCTTGAAAGAGCTAAATATTTTAAAAATCAGTAGAAAATAAATTCATAGGAAGAAGTCAATGATACGGTTCTGTGCTAACTACCCCATCCAGTCAGGCATTAATTTCCTTGAGCACCTCAGAGGCTATCCCTTGATTATCCCTTCCTGGCTACATATGCCAGGTTTTTTCTGTTTTACAGATGTATAACCAGAGTATGGATATAACAGTTAAAAAGGAGACAAATCAACAGGTACTAACATGTCTCTCCAGGATACATGGTTAAATGGAAAAAAAAAAGTCACTACACACACACACACACACACACACACACACACGCGCACACACACACACACAATTATACCCCAATTATGTTTTTAAAAATCAGGGGACTTCCCTAGTGGTCCAGTGGGTAAGACTCTGCACTCCCAATGCAGGGGACCTGGGTTTGATCCCTGGTCAGGGAACTAGATGTCGCACGCATGCTGCAACTAAGAGTCCGCATGCCACAACTAAGACCCACCACAGCCAAAATAAATAAATAAATATTTTTTTAAAAAAAATTCCCATCTATATCTAAATGCAAATGTATAGAAAAAAGAATGAAAATACTCAAATCAAACTATCATAAAGATCTTTGTGAAGAAGTATGGAATATTAAGAGTATGAAGAAGGATTTTTACTTTTTGCTTTGTATATATTGTTCAAATTTCTATCAGAAGCATTCACCTAAAGGATACTTTTATAATTAGAAAATTTAACACATAGTGAAAATAAATTTTTTAACTCACATATACAGATGAAAGGACCATAGGCATATGGCTGTGCCCTTGGTTTCCCACAGTTTACACACCAAGACCAAAAATGACAATTAAGTACACAGCACCACCATAAGAAAGAAATGCTCAATACTTTAATTTTTTTTGTATTTGGAAAGGTAAGGATTTCTTCACCACTGGACAAATGAATTAACAGCAATAAGACTGAAATATAAACTATAACCTTGAACCCAATGGCCTTTTTCCTTTATAACTTTTACTGTTACTAAAATTTCATAGCAAGAATGTAAGTTTATTCCTGGATAAACCCAAGTTTGGCACCCCCAAAGGATATCCCTTTGCCCAGTTAATAACCACTTTGAATAAAACTTTTTGCTCAATGCTAAGGAAACAAAGAGAAGGGAGCTCACAGTCTTATGAGAGAGATAAAAAGAAATACATGTGGCTATGAAAATACTTGCATAATAGACAAAATAGTAACCAAGTGCTATGGTACCAGAGGAGGGCAAGAGTGGGTTGTGTGACTGGTAGTTACACAGTGGAAGGGACATAGGGATATGACACTGAATAGGATGAATAGGATTCTTAGCGAAAAATGGGAGAGGAATATGGATAATTCTGTAAGAGGGAATATCATGAGAAGACTCGAAGATAGAAGTAGATGGATGTAACCAAATTTGTGAAAAATGATACTGAGAAGTGGGGAAGAAGAGAATGGCAAGTAAGAAGCGTGGAAAGATACATTGTGAAGACTTTCCATGGAACTCTAAACTTTATATTTGTTTTTATAAAATCGTACTTAAATATTTCTTATTCAACTCTTACCAAGGATATAACATTTTTCTACTCATCAACTTCATTACTGAAACATAATTTTGGAAATGGTATATACACCTAAAGATGTAAGATATATCTTACTTTTTTAAGAAACAATAGTGAATATATATGTAACATAACTACCTCTGTGGTTATAAAAGAAAAATAAGACAGGAGATATGATCAAATAATTAAAGTGGAAAACAAACTGTTAAAGGAAGATACTACTTTCAAAAGCAGTGGGCATCTTTAGGAGATGAGAATTATGATGGGTGTTCATCTACTATCCTCACAAGGAAATGTCTAAACCAATAATGGGGAAACTGCTATGAAATACACCTTTTATTTTAAAGTGTTAAAAACCACTTTAGAAATTAACTTTATAGCTCCTCAATCAAAAAGTCACGTGGCTAAGATTTTAAAAGCTATTTTTTTGGTAAGAAAAAGGAAAATGAGCCCACATCAGTAGTTTCCCAAGAAAGAAGGGTCTAAATCCCAAGTTTGAAATTAGAAATAATCCAAATCAAACTCACTTTAGGAGCTGTTAAAGAAAAAAGGGGGCAGTGCCAGTCATTCATTCTGAAATTGCTTGTTTTCACACAATGGATTATTATAAGCAATGTCCTAATTGGATAAAATTTCAATTGAACCAATTTCAGTCCTTTCACTTCATCATCAACTTCTGGAAAAAACAGCCTACACCCCATGGGAGCATATTCGCAACTGACATATTATAGTAGTCTCCTCCACAATACTAAGTTTGTATCCAGCCTCAAATACTTCCGAGTCACAAAAGAGGAAGTATATGAATGGGAATTCATATGTATCTAAAGTACATGAATGGGAATTCATATGAACCTAAATTCAGTGAATCTAAAGCTTAATATTTTTTAAACCTTTTTCTCTGAGTTCCATAACTTCTACAATACAAATGTATCCACAATCCTACCAGCCCTTTTTCTCTCCCAGGCATTTCCAGAATCTCAACACATAAACTCCCAAATCCTTAAGTATCTCCTCTCTAGCAGATACTCCTAGATCTCCACCACATTACAAAACCTGATTTTTTCAGTTGCCTTCTAGGCATTCAAACATGGCCTTGCAGAATGCACTTTTAAACTCAAAATGTACCAAATCAACTTCAGTGTACCTTCCTCAAAACTAGCCAGTTTTCTTCAGTTATCTTTTTTTTAAAAGAAGAGAGCGAACCCCAATGTTGTAAAGGGAACAGGTTTTAGGGACATTGCAAACTGCTGTTCAAACTAGTATTGTCTTTTGGAAAAGAAACTACAAAACATGCAACAAGAACATGAAAATACTTCTAATCTTAAAAACTGGCCAGTAACTTCATTTCTGGGAATCTAGCCTAAAGAAATCATCTTAAATTCATAAAACACAGCAAGAATATCAGTGTTATTTATAACAATAAAATGAAGAAAAGTTGTTTTAAAAGTTGAGCAACAGAGAATAGAGAACACAGAAATAAACCCATGTATATATGTTCAATTAATTTATGACAAAGGACCCAAGAATATACAATGGAGGAAGGACAGTTTCTTCAATAAATGGTGCTTAAAAAACTGAACAGGGACTTCCCTGGTGGCACAGTGGTTAAGAAGTCACCTGCCAATGCAGGGGACACGGGTTTGAGCCTTGGTCTGGGAAGATCCCACATGCTGTGGAGCGCCTAAGCCCTTGCACCACAACTACTGAGCCTGCATTCTAGAGCCTGGGAGCCACAACTACTGAGTCGGCGTGCTGCAGCTACTGAAGCCTGCGTGCCTAGAGCCCATGCTCCACAACAAGAGAAGCCACCACAATGAGGAGCCCGCACACCACAACGAAAAGTAGCCCCCGCTCGCCACAACTAGAGAAAGCCCACGCGCAGCAACCAAGGCCCAACACAGCCAAAAATAAATAAATTAATTAATTAAAAAAAAAACTGAACAGCCACATTGCAAAAGAATGAAACTGGACCACTATCTTACACCATACACAAAAGTCAACTCATATGCTATATGAGTACTATATACCATGACCAAGTGGGTTTTTTCCCACCTAGGAATACAAAGATTGGATTAACATCTAAAAATCCATCAATGTAATCTATCACATTAACAGTTTAAAGAAAAACAACCCATATGATCATTTCAATAGACACAGAAAAAGTATTTGACAAAACCCCACACTCATTCATGATTTAAGGGCGTGGGGGACAGAAAACTCAAAACACTAGAAATAGAAGGGAACTTTATCCACCCGATAAAGAGCATCTTATAAGAATCTAACAGCTAACATCATGCTTAATAATTAAAGGCTCAATGTTTTCCCCCTAAGAAAAGGAACAAGACAAGGATGTCCACTATCAGCACTTCAATGCAATGCTGTACTGAAAGTTCTAGCCTGTACGATCAGCCAAGAAAAAGAAAAAGAGGCACCCAGACTGGAAAGGAAGATAACATGAGCCTGTATGTAGAAAATCTTAAAGAATCCACACAAAAAACTATGAGAACTAATAAAAGAGTTCATCAAAGTGGCAGGATACAACAGCAATATACAAAAATCAATTGTACTATATACCAGCAATGAAAATTAATTCCATTCACATTTAAGCATTTGCAATATTTTGAAATTATAAATAACCTAGTGATGAACATCTACGAATACATACAGTATTTTCTGATTTCCAATTTGATAGATTCCTGGAACTCTCTACTTGCTTTCACAATGACAGGTACAAACATGCAGGTTATTGCATATAAAGTGATGGATTTAGAGAACAACAATTGTATTACACACTGAAGTGTTACCAAAAATAAGGCAATTTTGGGTTCTACTGGTTCGTCCTAAATAAATTTAAGAGCAGTGAAGGTCACTTACCTGCACAGCATGAGACAAATCTGACACTAAACACTGACGAAGCCTCTCATCATTTCCAATTCCTTGAAGAACAAAGTCAGGCACATAAGAAGAGCAGTAGCCACCCAGCAAGGACCTCCCAAAGTTGGCAATATTGGGCTGAACAGCACTCACTTCAATTAACTTTGACCTGCAAGAAAAGTTCCAAAAGAAGGCATACCTAATCAGTAATAAATATATTTTACCAACACACACACAAAAAATTGGACTCTACTAGTCCACATTTCCAGTACCATCATTCTTTATAAAATATACTAATAGTAAAATCATCCTTAAATAAAAACTGGCTTAAGGGCTCAATGAGACCACAAAATACTCCTTCCTATCCAAAAAGGGTCTGTAATGGACAACTCTGTAATGAGGTGAACATAAATCTTTCATAACAGACTTTAGGAATGCTGTCCCTTGTGTATGTAACACATTCTTAATACAATCAAATTACGGAAACCATCATCCAAAACCAAGTATAAATAACTCACAAACCCAAAGCTTGGTATATAACATTTCTCATGTATGAATCTTTTCCTTGTATTCTTGACCAAGAGTATCCATTCTATACTTTCCTCTTATTTCCAAACTTATTTCTAACAGCTATTTCCTACCTTCTCTCAGTGATTACCTCTCCCTAGTTGTCAGGCTCAGCACAGGTCCTTTCTGGGCAGCATAACTCACTGCTAAATGAAAACTCCTAGGCAGTAAGCAATCTCCCACACACCAACACAACTTTTCTCTAATGCCTTCACAAAGCTTTTCTGGGGCATCTGTGGGGCTTAGCCTTTAATCCTTCTTCTAAGTAGGAGCATGTGATAATAAAAGAGTATTTGTCCAGAACAATGGTCTCTTCTTTTATATTAGCTACTACCAACTTTCAGAGATGAGCTAAACAAAAGAACGGTACATATTTTTATAGGTTCTATAAAAGGCTAAAACTTCGTACTTACCCAGGAAAAGGTATCTCATCTTCTTCTGCCCAATCTTCTTGCTCTCCTCCGTAATAACTGCTTACTTGTCTAGTCACATCATGACCTGTATCTTCACTTTCACTATCCCCAAGGGCACTATCTGAACTTTCATTTCTTGGAATGTCCCATTCAGCTCCCACAGCAACTTTTTTCTCTGAACTCTCTTTATCCCCATGGGGGACAAGAATGGAGAGTTTATCTCTTTGGTCTTGCTGAGGAAAGTAGGTTTTACATGAATCTTGGTGAATTGTTCCTACACATTTGCAAAATTCATTGTTCTGTTTGCTATTTTTTGTATAAAATCTTTTTGAAAACTCTAACATACAGCAGTGTTCTTTACTGTCTGTACTTGTTTTAACTGGAATATCATCAATAGTCCTGGTTTCAATTGAATCATCATTAAAATATTCATCAAATAAGCTCATGCTTTCGGGGTCTGAATGATTCCAGCAGGGAAGTTCACAGGGCTCTCCGGATACCATGTTCAGTATATCAGGCTCTCCAGATTTAGCTGTTTGTGCAGTTTCTTGATGCTGATCAACAGCCCCTCTTTCCTCCTTCGGTGATTTGGTGTGATGCCTGGTAATCTGATCCACTACTGCCTGACTCCGGAGTTCAGTATCTGAGTCGGGTGACATAGAATCCCCAATCAAGAAAGTAACCTTTGTCTGGGTTGCCTCACAAGAAAATGCAGCTGTCACAAGTTTATCTGGAGGTTTTTTTTCCACAACCATTCCTGTGGATCTGAACACTTTACCTGTGTGATTACCTGAATCTAGCAATTCCTCACTCTGCCATGATTCCTCTGCAGGCTCTAAGCTTGACTTTGACAATGCACATCTGTCCACTGGAGCAGATCCTGTGCAAACAACTGTTTCTAACTTGGTGTCAAGGCAAGTTCTTAATTTATCTCTGCACTGTTTAACATCAACGGCATTTTCTTCTTGGCAGTCAGAAGAAGGAGAAATCATTCGGCACTCGTTTGAATTTCCTAGCAGCTCCTTAGAGCTGTTTTGAATATCTTCTCTCTCTTGTCGCAAAACATTCTCTATATTTTGCCCAAGGAGTGGACGACTGCAATATTTACAGTTACAATTAGGAGTCCTTGTTTCTTCTGACTCTTTAAAGAGCAAACTGTTTTTGTTTCTATGCATTGTAATAAGCACATACTCAGATTCTTCGATTTCACCTTTCTCTAAAGTGGTTGTAATTACTGTGCCTGGCATAACAATGGCTTCATCGTCTCCATTTTCTAAAAGATGGGTTTCTTGAAGTTCAGAGCATCTTATGAAGTAAGTAAGAAAATAAAGCAGCCTCTGGACCATGTCTTGTCGTTTACCAACTACCACAGTCCTTGCTAACCGTACAGGAGAGCCAATAGCGCCATACAAGTCTCCTGAAATGGAAAAATCAGTTAATGGACACATCCTCTACTCATACTAAGCAGGCTATTTTCAATTATCAGAAACCCACTATTATTTTATGAGGGGTAGTTCAGATTTTACTCTTGGTTCCTTAATAGGTTAGTGATTATTCAAGACTAGGATGAGATGAATGGTCTTAACCAAAGAGAAAGGTGAATGGATGGGCTTTCTACCTTCCTCCTTAAGCAGCTGCTAATAAGGTGCTGAAACCACAGCAGTCAGTCAGTTGTGAAAGTCACCAAGAACATGCTCTGTGCCAGTCCCCTTGCAGAGCACTTTATATGGGTGGAGAAGCACTGACTGAAGTATTATGTGCAAAAGCACATCTGCTGGGGACCAAGGAGAGGAAAGTAGTAGTAGTGAAATGGAACAGCTGAAGTAGTCACATCACACACTTAACCTTCCTTGATTTAAATCATATTCCTGAACTTCACCACCTGCTGCTGCCCTACCAAAGACCTCACATTAGCTCCCGTGTTTTTACAAGCCCATTTTCCTTTCCATTCCATTCCCTAGAGGGTTGGGTACTCAGGATAGACCCAAAAGGGCAACACATTTAGCCCTGTGATTCATTTTCACTTCTGTTATCCATATTACACATGAACAGCCACTACATTTAAAAAAGGAGGAGGGGGATTTAATTCAAGTTTTGCAAGTTGTCAGTATACACATTTAAATAATCTCTATTTTTACTTTATAAGAACCCCATACTTTTTAAAGGAACAAACATAAATAGGTCTCAAATAATATACTACAGACTGTACTATGATAAATTTTCTCCTCTGGCTAAGAAACTGGTTCTAGTACCATCATGCCACTGTTCAAAACTACTCCCAAGGTTTCCACTAACAACCAAATAAATTGAAACTGCCTTGGTATGGTAAATGAGTCTTTCATGACTGGTTCCACTTTACTTTTCCAGGTTTATCTTCTGATAGTTTCCCTATTTTACCTTTATTCACCCAAAGTCCCACTTAAACTGGACCCCTGAATGTGCTCAGCACTTTTAACACCTAGACCCCTTTACTCATGCTATGTATTTTCCCTTCCCTCTGTATCTCTGCCAGTCCAAAGTTTCCCACCCAAGCATCCTCCCTTGGACAAAAGTAAGCTTCCCTAATTGAACTCCCACTAAACTTTTCATTTCTTATAGTTCCTATTTGAATTATAATTATTGTCCACATATACTTTACCTACAGTATAAGACTGTCACTTCTTAAAGGCAAGGACTAGATATCATTCATCTTTATACCCTCCAGGGTTCTTTGCACAGAGCCTTAGATATATTGTGCATTCAATAAATGACTGTAGAATTGAAAACAGACTTGAAATGTTCAAATTAAAAAAAAAAAACTACTGAATTACTTGGTTTGAAAAAAGGTAAATTAATATTCATACAATGAAATACTACTTAGCATTAAAAAGGAATGAACTATTAATACATACAACATAGGTCAATCTCAAAATAATTATGTTGAATGAAAGAACTCAGACCAAACAAAAGCACTTAGTGTATGATTCCATCTATATAAAGGTCTAGAAAATACAAACTAATCTACAGTGACAGAAAGCAGACCAGTGGCTACCTGAGTATAAGAACAGTGAACAGGCAGAGTAGGGAGGAATAGGAGGGAGGGATTACAAAGGGCATGAGGAAACTTTTGTAGTGATGAATATGTTCACCATCTTGATTTTGGTGATGGTTTCAGAGGCATATACATTTTGGCATATATATCAAAATATATACGGAAAGGAAAAGGAGGGAGGAAAGGGAGGGAGGGAGAGAAGAAATAGAGTAGGAATGAGAGAGGGACATTGGTTGGTTATATGAATTAATAAGCCACATTACAATCTGCCTGGTAAGCTCACTCACCGTAACAACCTAAGGGAAGTTTAAGTTTCTACCAGGTCACCAAAACATTCTCACCATACTCCTCCCCCCATCACCAAATAGCAATAGACTAAGAGTAGGAGTAACAGCAACTACATTTACCAGCCACTGTCCTAAGCACTGTTCTCACAGTATCTCATTTACTTTTCACATTATGAAGTATTTACTATTTATTTTATTTTATTTTTCGGCCACACTGCCCGGCTTGTGGGATCTCAGTTCCCCAACCAGGGACTGAACCCGGGCCAAGGCAGTGAAAGCACCCAATACTAACCACTAAACCACCAGGGAACTCCCTGTACTATTTACTATTATCCCCACTTTATAAATAGGGAAACTGTGATTCAAACATGGTCTGCCTGACTCCACAGCCTATGCTTAAATTTAAGCACCATGCTACACTGACTTCCTAATGACTGTCAACTCATCAACTAACCCCTCTCTCCTGTTACCCATTTATTTCGTGGGGTACCAAGCACTAAGAGAAAGATTTTCAAAAATTACTCAACAAACAAAGGTGGAACAATGGAAACCTCAATGACTGTTTCTCAGTTAAACAGATTTATTCTAGCGATCATAGGTGACTTTGTTGATTCATTCTTTCTAGGCAAAATACCTAACACAAAACACCCTGAAGACCCTGAAGTTACTAATAAACCAGCCATCATCCTGCTCCTTTTGTTCCAGCTGCAGGTCGCTATAAGGAATGATAGTAAACATAAGATGGGGATAACACAATTTAGCAGTTATGAAATGACAAGTAAGGAAGAAATGCTTTAGAAAGGAAGGGGGAAAAGAAAGCACTTAATTTTTCTCTATTTATTTTTGCCATAAAGTAACTCCAGACAGTTACACAAAAGTCTAAGTATAATGCATAAATGTAAGGGTTTTCAGAATACATACCCAGTTGTGCCCAAAGTGGGTTATACGGATGAGTCTTTGCCAACATGTCCACACTCTGAGAGGAATGTTTTTCTAAAAATATTTTTATAGGTGGCTGTCCATTTGGCATGACTGTTGGAACCCAGGCAAGATGATTGGTCAGAACTGCAGTAATGAGTGCTGGCAAGAATCTGAAAACAAAATTCATCCTATCAGATTCTAATCTGCTTTCATAAAACCTCAAGCAAAATTCAGTGACAGAATAAAGCAGAGAGGGTACATGGCCAAACATCATAAAAAACGAGAGGATAGAAGGAAGGATAGGTATATCACCAGGATGAAAACAAAAGTTAATAAATTTTTTTGGTTGGGTAGGATTTAAAAGAAAAATCCTTAAAATAAAGACAGCATTCACAAGGAGCTATTTCTACTCATAATTAAAAAACAAAAATGCCATTTTACTTGAGAAACTATGGATTCTTTTCAGTGTTTAAAGTATACATATATTAATGAATCAACCAGGAAGTCTATACATATCCAAATTACTGAAAAGGAAAATGAAGGAACGTATTAAGAAAACTTTGTTTACCATCAAAGAGAATAAAAACACCCAAATTACTCATCTAGAGTCTAAGAATTTGATGATTAAAAGAAAACAATATGATAAAGTACCACACTAAAAATGTATTATTGGAATCCTGGCACTTCCCTATATATTTTTAAACTTCTTTTCTATAGAATGTAACCGCATTAATGGATACAATTCACGAAAAATGGGAAGCCTCAGAGAGTTCTGTAAGATGTCAGGAATTTTAATTTAACACAATTAAAGACATTTTTACTGTTTCTCATTCATAAGGTTCTTTGGTCTTCTTCCATACCCTGTCTTGTAATTATCTTAGTTATCTTTTATAATTCTGTCTCGCTCATTAATAATACAAAATAATTCCAAAGATAATGATTAATTCTTTCACCTTTGTACTTGAACTTGATCACAATCTAGATATCTAGTTATAGTAAACAATAGCTAAGGTAGTAAAGGGAAGGAAGTGAAGGCGGGCCATACTGATTTTTGGAAGCATTTTCCATTAGAAAAGTGAACTCCTTCATGAAACGATGGCAAAGCTGGTTCTTTTCTGGAGTCCCCGACATCATTGTAAGCCAGACAGGCTCTCCAATTCGTGGCATTGTGTAAAGATTACAAATTGTTGTTCTAAAAAGAGGAAAACACATTATAAAATTCATAGTTCCCAGAATTACATACTCTTAATAATAATGTTGCCGGCTGGGGTCTTACATCTAGATTATTAAAGCTTTTGAGAAAGACAATGAATCAAGTCTTTCCTTCTTTGTCATCAGCAAAGTACCAAGGGAAAGGTTTTATACATGACCTCAAAATGTGTTGGTTCTGGCACTGGCTCTGCCCTCAAAGGCTGTGTGACTTTGAGTAAATTATTTCCCTACTTTAAGCATCAGTTTCCCTTACCTATGAAAGGAAAGGACTAGGTAATTTCTAGAACCTTTCCAGTTCTACGTTTCCAAGGTTATAAGCTATACCTAAATATATTGCAAATAATCAACAACATAGAAAACAAAAATATTAAGCGGGGTAATAGCTTATGGATAATATCCACTCACAACAACAGTTTATCAGCATCATTTAATTGCCTATGCTGAGACTCCTTAGTAAAGTTCTGAAGAATGACGAGGACACTATATATGCATGCTATATGACTCTCAATTTTCTGAAGTTTTCCCTTGAATCAACACAAAAGAGGATTACTGCAGTTATCACAGTGCTTTTCTGGCTGTCTCCTGCATTTACTTAGATAATAGCTAGTCTTGTGACTTGCACTCTTTACTAACGGCTTTAAAGGATACCTTTAAGATGTCAATTCTTTTCCTTTTACATTGATATCTGTTCAGCAGAGTCCTATACACTCATCACACGAAGCAACTCCTGCAAAGTTGGGGCTTAAGAACCTAGTCGATCTCTTAAAAGCTACAGAATGGTGTCCTACTTTCTACTCTCTAGAATAGTGCTGTCTAACAGAACTTTTAGCAATGATAGGAATGTTCTATATCTGTGCTGTCCAACATGGTAGCCACTAGCCATATGTGATTACTGAATACCTGAAATGTGGCCAGTGTGACTGGGGAATTGGATTTAAAATTTTATTTAGTTGTAATTTAATTAATTTAAATAACCACATGTGGCTAATGGCTACTGTATTAGAGAGTACAGCTCTAGAAAGTTCTCTGAGATCTCCACAAAGCTCTGATACCTACCTCAGTATAATTTTGTAATATCCAGAATTCAAAAAAGGAAAAGAATTCTGTTGCTTGTACAAGTTTTATTAAATCTCAACCCAATATGAACATGATACATTACCATAAATAAAAGTGACAAATACGGGTCACATTAATGAATTTTTAGTAGGGCATAAAATGACTGCTGAGAACTTAAAAATAAATGAATGGAAAAAAATTACAGGTATCTTACAGAGATAAATATGACGAATATAAACTAGCGATATTGAAAATACTTATTTTTTAAAGACTATTAAAGATGTCCAAATAGGATGGAAAACTGAGCACAAATGTGTATCCCCTTTCAGTTCTAATGCCCCAAATGAACATTACTTAATGATTTAAAAACAAATGAATCACTACAACAAATAGAACTGAAGAGGAACTTTAGTGAAAATTAAAATTACAGATTTAATACAATTCTAGAAGACAAAACACAGAGAAGAATGTTAACTGAAGTACTAGGGCAGAGGAAGATAATGGGTTATGGCGCTCATGGCGGTGGGGGGATGTACAAAGAGGAGCTAATTTACCCTACTGAAGCAAGAGTCTAAGGACTCAAAAGTGCCTGCTAAAAAGGAGGGCAGCAGCTATATAGGACTATAGACTAAGAGACTAATTCAAGGGCCATAAATGGTTGGTGACCCCCTACCCTCCACCCCATTTTCCCACAGAATAACTAAAGATAGGAGAGCAGATGTAGCAACTGACCATCCCAGAGAAATGACATGCCCAAACCTTCCCTGATATTTGAATCTTTCACAGTACACAAACAGATATACAGTAAATCTTGTGATATTAAAATTCCATGGCAGAGGCAGCAATTATGGGGAAAAATGTTTAAATATGCTCCTTCAGGCAGTGAAAATGAAAAAAAGTTGAGCAACACTGCTCTAAAGTGAGGTTCTCCAATCTGCACTCCCAACCTGTACTTTGGTGCCTCACTCTCACTCTTAATGGGCAACCAAAATATTGATATATAGAGAAAGCCTCCAAGGAAAGAGGGACACAAACAGAAAGACAGAAACACACACACACAAAATGACTCCAGAGGAAATAGAAAATAATAAAGTCAGAAAAAGAGAAGAAAAACATGAAAGAAAAGAGACATAGAAGATCAATCCAGGGGTGTCAGTTTCTAACAAAATACACTGAAGAGAAAATAGAGGAAAATAAATTATCAGAGAATACAGATAATTTACCAAAGTTGAAAGACAAGATAGCGCTAAAATTATACTGAAAGGCTAAAAGGACCAAGGATCAGGTATGAATTTACAGCAGGAGATAAATATGCTCTACAATTGATAAATCAAGAAATAGCTACACTAGGTATACTATTTAATAATACGGAGGTAAACAACAAAAGGAATATTTAAGAGTTAAAAGAGAATGTTCTTCAGCAGTAAGAATGGGGATGGGAGAGGTAGGAATGGGCTCATTTATTTTTCATTATTAGAACGTCAGTATATATTTTTTTGCTTCTTAACCATGTGAATGTACTTTTGAATAAAATAAACTTTTTGATTAAATGAATGAACAAGCTGATCAATTCATTTTCCATGAGTTTCTTCAGCATAATATTGTCTACTACAAGTCTACGTGTCATGGGCCAGTTATATCACTAACATTAGTATAGTGGGTCACTGAGGACATTAGCTTTATAGTGTTTTGCTGTTTAAAAATATGTACCATGGGGCTTGCCTGGTGGCACAGTGGTTGAGAGTCCGCCTGCCGATGCAGGGGACACAGGTTCATGCCCCGGTCCAGGAGGATCCCACATGCCGCGGAGCAGCTGGGCCCGTGGGCCGTGGCCACTGGGCCTGCACATCCAGAGCCTGTGCTCCGCAGCGGGAGAGGCCACAGCAGTGAGGGGCCCGCATACCGCAAAAAAAAAAAAAAAATGTACCATGACCTTGGAGTGTATCAAGTGCAAAGAAGGCAAAAAAATTAATTACGCAATAGTGCTTCTCACTATATACAACTCTGTGCTGTCATTAACAATGTAGAAATAATGATGCTTGCTCTCTTCCCCCTTTAATGGTTATTCCCTACCCATGAATGGTAAGAAGGGCAAGTATTTTCAGTCATCTGACCCTTTATTTTTCTTGGTCTGTCCCTACAGAATGGAAGACTCCTTCAGTTGGTAGGAAACTGTTGACATGATTTAGTTTTCACTGATATGCATGAAGTCTAAGTAAAAATCCAAGTACTTCATCTCTGCCAGGCAGCAATGCTAACTAAACATACTTCTTACTTCTCTAGGTTTCAGGACTTGCATCTACATGTCCTTCCTCTTCTCAACTACCCGAAATTCATTAATCATCTGGTTTCAAATAATCACATAGTTTAAAACTTACCTAACTGCTAGATATAAATAAAACACTTAATTTAAAAATTAAGTATGACAGCTTCTCATTATTTGCAGTAATGTTCTATAAAGTCAACAGAAACACTGAATTAGTGAACTGTGAATCACTGTTCCTGAGAGAAATACAGAGTTAGGTTCCTGTGAGTCTCTGGTCACAACATTTTTGTCAATCCATCAATACATAATCTTGTTTTATGTGAATTTTTGTTTAAAGACCCTTTATTTAATATTCTGTTAATTTGTTAATAATGAATTCACATCCAACAGCATTATGACTCATGCCTTAACAAAGCTCACCTAACACGTATTTTTCTCTGTAAGGCACATCACAACCTTCTTGCACTTAGAAACATTAGACAGAATTTCAACACTATGCTTGTGCACAATTTTTTTTTAATTGAAGTATACTTGATTTACAATGTTGTGTTAGTTTCTAGTATACAGCAAAGTGGTTCCATTTTATATATATATATATTCTTTTCCATTCTGGCACACAATATTGAATAGTTTCCTGGGATATAACAGTAGGACCTTGTTGTTTACCTATTTTTTATATAGTAGTGTGTATCTACTAATCCCAAACTCCGAATTTTATCCCTCCCCTCCCCCTTTCCCCTTTGGTAACCATAAGTTTGTTTTCTATGTCTGTGTGTTTCTGTTTTGTAAATAAATTCATTTGTGTCATATTTCAGACTCCACATATAAGTGATTATCGCATGGTATTTGTCTTTCTCTTTCTGACTTACTTCACTCAGTATGATAATCTATATTGCATCCATGTTGCTGCAAATGACATTATTTCATTCTTTTTTATGGCTGAGTAGTATTCCATTGTATATATATATATATATATATATATATAT